ACACACTGATGGTGTCCTCCAGGGCTGCCCTGGGGCTCCCTTGCATGCCTGTTCTCAGAAGAACTGGGGCATGCTGAAGGTTTGAGATTGAAGGTCTTGTCAAAACCAGAAGCACAAACAGAGCTGAGGGTTTCTTGCACTGCATCTGCAAGTGCAGTGTCTCTTTTCTTTGATGTTTCCTTTAATTTTCTCATTTTTAATTTCTTAAGAACATATAGAACATGGATGTTTAATGGTTAATATTTTCCTCAAACCAAGTGAATAAATTTATTGAACTCCTGTAACATTTGTGGATCAAACAAGCCTCACTACTTTAATAAAAGGAAGAATTAAATAAAGYCCTAAAATTAATTTAGAATTTGTAAATATACACACTTAAGAGATATTTACACAGTGCTTGTGTGCTTGGCAGAGCATTGCATAAATAGTTACAGGAYTGATAGGGTGAAGGTTGTTCTTTTTCTTGACTTTGATACTAAATTATTTATTTTTTTATCTCAGTACTGGAAGGAAAAGTGCCTTTGACATAATTTTGCAAAGCTTTCACTTCCTGCAAATAAACATCTAATATACTTCTTTGAAGTTAAGTGTTAGATCATTTTGAGGGAACYTGAGACAGTTCCTCAGGTGTGTGTTTTTGCCCTCCTCAGCAGTAAGCTGGAGCAGTGTGGTGCGTGGCAGCTCTGTGATGTGACTGCAGKGTGAGAGCACTGCACAGCTCTGTGAACACTGCATTGTGCCTCACAGCACTAGGACAAGCCATGCACTGATACCCAGGGAGAATGATTGCCTCCCTTACTTCACTGCTGGTGCTTCATTGTGAGACTGGCAAAGCTGGAACTTGTTCAGCGTTGTTTATTACCCCTCTTGTATCAACAGCTCTTCGCAGTCTCCTGGAGCAGTGGAGTCCTGGGGCGTTCCCTGTGGTTTTGTGGAGCAGGAATTGCGTTCATTCCTTGTGGCTGCTCAGGGATCAGGTGCTCCCATGTTTGCATCAGCAGCTGCAGCTTCTCCCTTTGATCCACCCTCCTGTGCTGCTTTCAGGACAGGACTGGGGGCTCGGGAACTGAGGAGCAGCCAAATGCCTTTCCAGGCTGTGATGCCTCTGTACTTGTCCTGTTGGTTCCAGTGCATTAAACCTTCTGAGCAGAAACCTCTGTCTTCTGATTGTCAGGGGTAGTGTTTACCTGGAGGAGGAACAAACAGGAAAAGAGAAAAGAGAAAATATGTGCAATTCAGTCGTGAACAAATCCCTAAAGCCCTTAGTAAGTTCAGTTGTGTTCCTGCCCTCCACACAATTTCTGGGCATGGTGTTGCWGCCAGACCGTGGAACAGGCTGGGGCCGTGCACGGCAGGAGAGAAGAGGGACAGGGGCTCTGCAGGTCTGCAGTGATGTGAGTAACAGCAGCATCCGTGTCACAGCCCTGGGACCTGCTGCCTTGCCTGGCCTGCACCCTGGCATCTGCCAASCCAGGATATTTTTATGTCACTTGAAAAGGTAGAAAATAATTGCAGTGATTTTTAGACTACACTGTTTCTGTTTGGGACTGGAGACCAAGAAGTGTCTCAAACACACAGACACAGCAAAAGCAACAGGGACATAGTTTTGGCTCTCATATGCATGTTTCTATATTTAAAGCTRAAATTAATCTTGTTATCACATGTTTTCTTCATAGACAAATATTAGTAGTAATAAAAGCAATTAAAAGGCCACCAAATAATGTATGTTGTGGAAATTTGRGTTGACCCAGCAGAACACATGGACAGTGTATTTGCCCAAACGTTGCATTGATGTGCTCTTACGTGTTTTAGCCAGATCTCTCACATCACATATGCAATTTTTGGTATGAGAAATGGTTTAAGACTGATTTCTTTTCTTTTTATTGCGGCTGTTTAAGGATGATCTAAAAGTAATTACAGTGATTGAGGCATAATGCAATTCAAAATAATTACAGCCCACTGCATATAAAACTAACAAAACTTTCTGCCTTGATTTATGGGTCCTCTTGGCAAGGCATAAACCTCAAATGATGCCTCTGGGAGCAACACTCTAGATAATGTTAGGCCATTTTAAAAAAAGCAGATTTGTGTAGTCTATCAGGCCTGAGTAATTTTTTTTTTCTCATAGTGAGAAATTGGTTGTTATCATAGATCACAGATACTGCTCAAAGCTCTTATGAAAGATGAATTAATTTCACTAATGCTTTAATGCAAACCTTTCATGGAGGAGGCTGTATGGTGATAACCTTACTGCGGTCTCTCCTTTCTCAATTATGATTTATGTTGTCTTTTAGTAGATGAAACTGCCTGTATTCACAATCCATCTGCTGGCTAAAGGAATCCTATTAACAGAGGATCTGAGAAGAGACTTAATAATGTAAGGTGAAAGATGTGGTATCCCCTTTCTGGGACATGAAGTAGGATTTGTTTTTCCTATTTTAAAATGTAGATCGCTCTGAGAGCATACAGATGACCTATGTCATCTCCACCTGGTTTCATGCTGGCTTACAGATGKTGTAGCAGCTAGTGACTATTTGTTCAAGTGAAAATAAGGTTGTTGCTTTGAAATGTGCAAYAAGAATCAAATTTCTCTTTCTTCCTTCCCAAGCTATAGCTCTTTTTTACATTCTGTTTCCAAAACTTCGGTCTTTCCAAATACTTCATTTAGAAATACAAAATACTAAAATATAAATGATCCAAAAATACATAATGCATCTTGTTCAGCTGCAGTATATATTTAAGTCWAAGGATGATACCTTCATATCAGAGCTGTAGAACTCCAGCTCCTGAGCTCCATTAGGCCCAAAGCCTGCTAATTTCTACCTTCCTAATGTTAAATAGGCAAGTTATTGGTAAGTGAATTATTTATTGAAGTTAAAGGAATTAAGTGTGTTCAAGTTATGAGTAACTAAAGGTAGTTTGCAGGTTGGGTGGGGAATATACCARCTGCACAGTGAAACAAGTGTTATTTTACACTTCAGAGGCACAGGTGTTCTGCTTTATTCAGCCTCAGCTGGGTGATATTTTCCAGTGTGAGCTAAATCTTCTCACTGATCTCCTGTGCTGGCTTCTCCTTGGRCCAGGTAAAAGGTCCAAATCTTCATGGCTTTGTCCATCACTTGTTGCTTTTTGGCAGTGTCTCAGTCTGGAGCATTATGGAGCTTCTGACTTCAAACAGTTACAGAAGCAACTGATCTAAGGAAAGAAAAGAAGTAATTTTGAGGTAGGAACTMCATTCTGTGCTGTTTTTATGGCAARTTGCCATAATCTGTGTCCATTTCCTGACTAGTTAMACACTGCTGTGAGCACAGGGACCATGGGCTCCTGTGAAAGGCTCTGAGAAGGAGACATTCTTACCATGGCAAGGAAGGCCAGTCAGTGATGGATATTGCTTGGTTCCTTGGCTGCTCTTGCTGCCAGTATYTGGCTGATTCCTGCTTCAGGTTTCCATTCCCTGTGAGCTGTGGTGTTCCTTTAAGGAGCTGCAATTACACTGCAGTCATCGCCACTTTAATATGTCTTTCCTTCATGCCCCACTTAGTATGGTTGAATAAACCCTTTCTGGGTCACTATTTAATTTTATATGGTCCCTCTCAGTAAAATGATGGAGAAAAGATGAATTAAGGCTCTGTGCTGGTCATTATCAATCATGGCTTGTGTGCATTACTTATTGCTCACAGTGCTTTTTGACATTAGCCCTCTCTAACCTCTCTCTTCATGTTAATGCTGCCTGAGGTCCTTTCCCCCAGTGTAGCAGGGGTTATTTATGTAGGTGGTGGTTCTGGGGTGCTTTAAAAGGTCGGCCCAATCTCCTCAGGGACTCTGTTCACAAAGGAAAAGCTGGCAGAATGTAACYACAAGTTTTCAAATCGTGATTTTAAAAACCATATTTTTTGGTGAAGACTTCTGATAGTGAGGTGCCAGAGCTGCAGTTACATTGATTAAAGTACATTGGTGCCAGAACATGGCCTCTCATGTGCTGCTGCCTTTAAACCAGTRTTCACATGTGTGTGAGGAGAGCTTGGGTAGGAAATAAAGTATTTTATACTGTCATGAAATACAAATTTATTGCAAATACCTTTTCATTGGCTTGTATCAGCCTAGGCTGGTGTTGAACAGTCAGGCAGCATGCCAAGGGCTGGACATGCTGTCTACTGCAAGGTGTCAGGGACAGAATTGGAGTGGGTTCTGTGGTGCCTGTGTACAGATTGCACATTCCAGATTGCAGATTCCAGATCATTCCAGATTGCAGATTCCAGATCCTGCTGGAGAGGTGGATGAGGACTGACAGCAGGGCTCTGCTCTCCTGCCCCTTGGGTATGAAAAACCAAAGGGGTTTAGAGTGTATGTGCATGACCCTGTGGCTGCAGGCAGGGCCCATCCAAAGGGGAGGGGATCTGCTGGTGTCATTGCARGGCTCCTGGCTGCCATCCCAAGGGTTGGGAAAACACACATTTTACAGCCATTCTCAGGAAAGGTCCCAGGTGCCATCTCCCCAGGCACTGGATGCTGATGGAGCAAACCTTCCTGAGTGACCAAGTGCMTGGAGAAGGGTTTGCTGTGGGTGCTGYRGGCATTGSCTCTAGCAAGGCTTTCCAGAGCAGWGTTTCAGTGTCCTGGAGGCCAAGTTGGTGACACCTGTACTGGAGTCAGCTGGAAAGCTGTCCAGCCCTCAGGGTGACAGGATCATGGACAAATGGCAGCCCGTGGGGTTCCTCAGGGGTTCACCAGTCCAACAGCTCTTGGACAGCAGGATGGATGCACACTCAGCTGGGAGCAGGCAGAATGCTGGAGGGCAGGGATGCTGTGGGRGGGACTTTAGCAGGCTGAAGGGAGCCCCAGAGTTCAGCAAAGCTTAGTGCCAAGCTGTGCCCCTGGATCCCTTCCTCACAAAGCAGGACAGGCTGGAGGTGATTATCCAGGGAACAGCCAAGTACATGGATCTGTTTGAATGGCAAGTTGAAGATAAGCCAGCTTTGTACTTGGGTGGCAGAGAAGGCTCCTGGCATCCCCGGGTGCCAGGAAGGGACTCCTCCATCTGTTTGGTGCTCCAAGGCCACATCACCTCTGCAGTGTCTTATTTGGGATCTCTGTCCGGAGAAACGTGGGCAGGTGGGATCACACAGAGCAGAGGCACCTCTGGGGCTTGAACAGGGTGTGTGGGAACACAACAAAAAGCCTTTCTGTGCCCCAGGAGAGGGAGGGACAGACTCCARGCAATGTGACACTGCCCCTGGCTGGCATGGGAGCAGGACCAGGGCCAGCAGCTGCAGCAAGGGAAAATATGATTGAGTCTGGGAAAAGCTTTCACCATGAGGGTGAACAGCACAAGATGGGTCCAGAATGGTTGTGGARTTGCTGTTCTTGGAGATGCTCAAAACCCAGTTGAATGTGACTCTAAGCAACATGATCTGATTGGGTCTGTTTTGGTGTTGCACCTTTTGTGGTACCTGCCACGTTGCCAAAGAGGAAGATAGCAAATGAGAAATGGCAGCTTGATTGAAAACATCATAGACTTGGATTACTTGATTTTAAGTTCTGGGTACTTATTTTTAGGAAAGAAATTACAAAACTCTGATTTTTTTTTGATGAAGATTAAATTTGATCCAATTTTGAATGCCTTTAGCATTTAACTATTTTCATTGATTTGCTTTTGAGTAAGTGTTGACATCTCTACTTGTAACTGTGCCCTCATGGGCATCACAGAGGRGACCTTACTGGATTGTGGGATTTGTGATTCAGCCATGGATCCTTTAGGRAGGATTGGAGTGTTTGCCTTCCAGCCAGCCATCCTCTAACTGAGTGGTTGCTGGACCTGCAGAAGGGGCTATTTTTCACTGTTTAAAAAAAAAAAAAAAGTTTGCTATAAAGTAGATAATTATTTGAAATATAATTACTGTGGTAGTGTTTCTTCTTGGTCTTGGCTGCAGTGACTGTGCTTGTATCTAAGGRGAGGAGAGGAGAGGAGGGAGATGGATCCCTTTTCACTGAGGGGTGGTCAGAAGATGCAGTTTGTGTTGGACAGGGCTTGCAGCAACATKGTCTGCTGAAAGGAGTCCCTGAGCACACGCAGGGGAGGTGGAACGAGGTGCTCTTGAAGGTCCCTTTGAACCCACGCCACTCTGTCATTCTGTGGTTCATTCTAACACAGGCTGCTTTCGTTTGGTGAGGCCCCTCACTATTTCAGTGGTGTTCAGGATTGAGGACTGACTGTTCATGGAGAGGAGAATGAATACAGCTGGCCAGTGCCTTGGGTGAGGTTTGGGGGAGTGGTGCTTCTGACAGGGTATGCTCTGCTGGGACTGGTACTTTATTCGCAGTGAGTCGGTCTTTTGCTGCAAAATCATTGGCACCATTATTTAACTCTGTGTGCTGCAATGTTACTCCCAGAGCACATTAGCCTAGCCACACTTGCATTGTTAACACGGAATAAATAAGATGCAAAATCATGTCTTTTTATGGGAGGTTGTAATTTGTGCCGGTGGCTTGGGAGTGGTGCTGAAAAACCCCTTTTTGTGTCGTAAGTGACACGTGTAGGTACAAGCTGAATTGTGGCTTTCTGGCCGATGGTGCAGTTATGATGAATGTAATCTTTTGCCATTATTTAAATTCTTAACTTTTATAGAAATATTGGGTGGCTTGGCTCATCAAGAGAAATAGCTTTCTAGCAGATCTCATTCATTTTAATTTGATGTAAATCTCTGATGACATTTTACCATTCAGGTAAAATTGCAAAGAAAATAGTTGTGCATAGGTAATAAGAATTTGTTGGTTTAAGCTAAGCATAAATTCAGTTGGAAAGCTTTCCTATTTGTTTATCTTTAATCTATAAACAGTTACCAGAGCTTATATTAATTTTACACATAAGTTTGTAACTGCTKCAGGATCCAAAATATAATTAAATACAGGATTTATAAAAGACACAGTATCTATTTTCAAAGTACCTTAGTTTGTGTTCAGTGCTTCCTGGTTATAATGTATGGATGAGCTCTGCTTTGGTTTGTTCTCTGTATTTCACTTATGCGGTAATCTTTACCTAAGGTTCTTATTCACTTATTTTGCAGTGCAAGTGGTCGAGAAAAGGTTTCATCCGAACAAGATGGTGTATTACTGATTGGTAAGTGGCATCTTTAAGTTATTTCTGRTTACATGCAGTTTATGTATGTCTGTTCACAACTCCTTCAAGTAGGTGTTTCCRTGTGTAGATTGGTCTGTTCATAGAGCAGATTGGTTCCAAACAGTTGCTTTATTATCTGTTGAACATACAGAGCTCAGTAAATTGTAATGCTGCATAAGGAAATGTGGTGTCAATGCCCACAGTAGCGTTAGCGTGGGACCATTCAGTCAGAAGAGGCTCTCAGTCAGGGACTGACTGTCAGGCAGCTTGGTGCCCGTGAGCAGGGCTGTGACAGTGACAGTGTGGAGCTGGCTGTGTCCCTCACTGCTCCCATCGCTCCATGTGAGCAGGGCTGTGGCATCAGTCACACTGTGGATGGCAGTCAGTCACACTGTGGAGCTGGCAGTCACAGTGTGGAGCTGGCAGTGTCCCTCACTGCTGCTCCTGTTGTTCCATGTGAGCAGGGCTGTGGCATCAGTCACACTGTGGAGCTGGCAGTGTCCCTGAGTGCTGCTCCCATCGCTCCATGTGAGCAGGGCTGTGGCAGTCACAGAGTGGAGCTGGCAGTGTCCCTCCCATCACTCCTGATGCTGTTCCCATCACTCCTGATGTTGCTCCCATCACTCCATGTGAGCAGGGCTGTGGCATCAGTCACACTGTGGAGCTGGCAGTCAGTCACACTGTGGATGGCAGTCAGTCACAGTGTGGAGCTGGCAGTGTCCCTCACTGCTGCTCCCATCACTCCTGATGCTGCTGGGACGTGCTGGTGTCTCACCTGGTTAGGTACCACAGCTGCCTGTGAGCAGTCCTCACCTCTGGGGTTTCTGACCAAAGAGATGATTGTTCTCTAGGCGTTCCTTCAGATTTCTCTAAGCCTACCTGGAAATCTGACCTTGCTCTTTTACCATTTAGTTATAGTTCTGGTCTTTACTGCTTACTTAACCTTGCAGTCACCTACACATACATGAATGTGCAACACTTCTCCTCGTGGTTGTTTTACATGTTAAAATCGTACTCTTTCATTGACTTTGCAATCTCATGAATGTTCACGCAGGCTGACTTYTCAGTGCTGAACAGTATTCGTCCTCTGTTGGCATAGGCATGTTTATTTAATCAAGCAGTCTGTGAAGACTGAAGAGGTGTCAGGTTTTCTCCTTTTATAGGCTTCTAACCCAGAAACTGGCAGGCAATTGTGTGATAAGGCAGGTAAATCCTAATTTCTCCAGATCCACATGCATGGCATGTGATTCCAGCAGCAGATAAAGGCAGAAGTGGATATTTAGCACCAGTTGCTAATCTGGCCTTGTCTGTCAAGGGTGTGTTGGGCAGTGAGAATGAGGAGCCACCATTCTCCAGACTGWAATGAGCTGAGGTGGTTGTTCTGTCTGCAATAATTTCCAGTTCTGATCCACATGATCTAACAAGGTCTCACATGTTTCTAATAGGAAGTTGAAGGGGCGAGTTATTGTGAACAGTTTCTGAAGAATGAAAGTGAAATATTGTGGAAAATACAGGGGATTAGAAAATATCCTTAAGAAGGTCTGAGTGTCTAATGTAACTCTTCAGGGTGTGATGAGTGTTTGCACCTAGTCTCTGTGCATATGAACAAATTTCTGCCCATTTTCMTAATCATGAAAGCCAATTTCATAAATCATGACTTTTGATGAATACATTACTGCATTCTAATCAGTCAATAAAAATAGAGTCCAGACACTTGTTAGTACTTCTGTGTGAGTCCTTGGAGGGWGCTATTCATTTTCCCTGCCTAGGAAAACATTGGTAGAGAATGTACCTCATGCCAAAAACAGTGGGCTCCCAAAAAAACAGCAAAGTGACCTTAGCAGACTTCAGAGAACTGTCCTTTTTCCTTCTCTGTAATTCAGTGGTCTGCCCCAGYTGAGTTTCTCTGTGAATCCAGATTTTTTAAATCCATTATTCTTCATTATCTTACCTTTAGAGAACTAAAGAACCTTGGGGCACTCATGAGTTTTTACATTATGCAAAAATGAAAGAGAACTGCATAACTACATGTACTTTTATTTTGCCTTTTTTTTTCGTATCTTGACTATAAGGTGAAGGTGTTTGTTTCTRTTCCAGTAATTATCAGTGTAAGTGTTTTAACAGGTGCAAGATAGAGCCCTGAATGCATTACAATCTTAAATATTGCTTACATACATAGTTCACATTTGCTAGGGAGGATGGACTAGAGAATGCACTTATAACATTTAGATAGGCCACCAATCTTTGCAATTATATCAGTGGTCAGAATCAGCAACCAGAACAGTTTTGATATTTTTGAGGAAGTAGTATTCGAAGATGAAAGTCAGGGAAGTGCAAARCATGATACTTGAGAGGAAAATTTAAAAGCAGCAATACAATTTTGGGAATAACTGACTCATTACCCCTGCTGCAGRAAAGGATCAAGGGAGAAGGAATTGAATATGGATCATTATTATCTTACTGAGATGTGTTAATAGATAGATCCTGTGAAGGACACGAAGGGGGAAGGCACGGTGATTATTTACATGAGTGCTGCCAAGGCCTGTGATAAAGTGTTGTGTTTGGCTTTGAGTGCTGTGCTTTGGGTGTGCTGGAAAGGGGACAGGAGAGTCGGGAATGGTGGAGAATCTGAGTAGGGGATGAGAACTGGCTGACCACATCAGGGAAACTGGTTGCTGTCTGTCAGCCCTGCAGAAGGRCAGAAATCAGTTTAATTTGCAGGAAAAGAGGTAATATGATGAGAATTGAAGTTTAAGGACAGGGAAGTTGAAGGTCCTTCATCAGTAAGCTCTAAGAACAAGCATGTTTTAGACAGATGCAGGTGGGTCATAGATACCTTTACACATGAGGTGATGAGGTGATCTGGTGACACTGGACCCTTCCTGTCCTACAGGGATTCTTTCTGTTCATGGTTCAGCCTGACAGGCCTGGATATCTCAGGCTGTCATGTTTTATAGTTATGTGGTCATTATATATCTTTATAAGAACATTAGTGGGGCTGCATCTCCCTCAGTGTGGTTTTACTGGGCAGGATGTGCAGATCCCTGCAGCCAGATGTCTCCACCAGGATCTCTGGCAGGGCCCTTTGTTTGGAGTAACCTGTGTGTGTGACTGTGCTTTCACTGTTGCTCTGACTGTGCTTTCACTGTTGCTCTGACTGTGCTTTCACTGTTCCTGCTGCCATCATTGCTGTGTCTGGGTCCATTCCAGCTCCACCAGGGTCTGGGAAACGCCCTGAGCATCRCTTGGGGGTTCTGTTTGGCACCTCTCTCTTTTGGCCAGAGCCTGTCTGTGCTTGTAGCAGCTGCAGGTAGGCTTAGTGGGCTTTTCTGTGCTCCTGTGGTCCCCCAGGCATGGCCTGAGACAAGCAGTCCGTGTCCTCTCCCAGCTGGACATGGTGTGTGTAGTGACCGCTGCTGTCTCAGCATTCTCCACAGGGACAGACAGGGAGTCACAGTGACAGGATTTTAACCCTCAGTAACATCTTCCTGTCAGTAGTTTTTCACGTTGTTTATTGCAAAGCCACAGTTCTACTTGACACTTAGCTGCAGCTTTGTAAAATGGAAATYGTTTACACATTCAGTTTTGTTTTAWAAATATTTTAGTGAGAGGGTACTGCCTGATTTCTGGAATTGTGATTGACAAATAGCTTTTCATTTTCATGTTATGCATCCTTCATGCAAAAGGAGGAGTCTTACCTGTGGATGAGCTGTAAGCYTGATGCCAGTCTCTGACAATTTTCTGATTATGATAGCTTAATCTGCAGTTTCTGTGAAGAAATACTAAGATAGCRTAAGAGTGAATACAGTAAGTGCTATGTTGAATGCTTTGCTGATGCAAGAGATGTTTTGGTTTTTTTTCTTTTATCCTGAATCATTTTATTTTTTTCCTTTTTTTTGTCATAGTGCCTTTGACTTGGTAAACATTCATCTTTTCCATGATGCTTCCAATTTAATTGCTTGGGAAACAAGCCCATCGGTTTACTCAGGAATACGGCATAAGGCTCTTGGCTATGTACTTGATAGGTATGTATTAGCCTTTCTTGGCCTCTTTCAATCTCTGTGTTATAAGCAGCATATGAAAGATGTTTCAAATGGCACACAGAAATGAAGAGGGTTTTATTCTATCACCTGAAAGTGGTTACTGCTTGCCAGAGTTTTCTAGACAGTGCTGATTACAGATCACTTGATGACACTTGCTCTTTAAAGCCAAATTACTGATCTCAGGGAACCAGAAGTTGCAGAGGAGAGACCACATTTATTTTCTAAATGTGTTAGATTAGCTTATTTTTCGACTATGCAGAGTCTAATAAAGCTGCCATTCAAGTGCATCTTCGGTTCCAGAAACACAGAATAATTCCAGKTGGAAGTGATGTCTGGAAGTCCCTCACTCACCTGCCTGCTCAGAGCAAGGCTGGCTTCAGCAGCGTGTCCAGCTGAGCTTTGAGCAGCTCCACACATGGAGCTTTGCAGCTACTCTGGGCCACCCATTGCTGTTTGACTGCCCTCACTGTGGAGGGTATATAGGGACTTTCTGTCCCTAYTTTCCAGCCAGAATTTTCCTCAAAGTGATTTGTGTCCATCACCCAGATCAGATGGGGGCATGCACTGCTGAAAAGTCTGGCTCTTTCCTTTCTGCAGCTCCCAAATAAACAAAGCCAGCAACAGAGTCCTTGTGTAGACCACTTTTGTGCAACCTAAACAAACCCAGCTCTTTCAGCCTCTCCTYGTGGGTCCCTCCACATGGAGCTGGTGGTGCTTTTATCTCCACACCAGATGGGTGCAGCAGCAGATAGTTCATCTCAGCAGCAGCACAGCGTTTGTGTATAGTCACCACTGGTATTAATAACATGTGGATTATAATGGTATTACAAAGCTGGTTCATCTGATGTGGTACAATACAGAGGACTCCCAGAAATACCCAGAAATTTACAGCTGCCCTAATTATAAAGTTGGTAAAAAGCTTTCTCTTGCCTCAGAGAAGAATGTTTCTATGTGGGCATTGTTGTGCTGGCAGAGCATACAGGTATTTCTGTTAGGAAATGCCAATCAGCCTCATGTTTGCCYRTTGAAACAGGGCTTTAATGTGTGTGTTGAGAGCAGCCGTGGCACACGCTGCTGTCCGTGGCATAAAAATGGGGTGCTTAAAGCAAACTGCTGAGCTTGGGAGGAATATGGAACCAGAGCGTTTTGTGTGCTGTTTTCCTGGCCTCATCCCTGCTGTCCAGAGGCTGGGGCTGTGTGCCAGGTTGCTGGGTTCACAGGACTATTCAACAACACCCCCAGTGTGCATGGGACATGGGATGGCAGCTGCCATCCCTGGAGTGAGCACTGGTGTCACCTGGCTGGTGTCACCTCTGTTCATCCCCTGAGAAGGAATGGGGGTCCCAGCCCAGCCAGGGCTGCTGAGCCTCATCCTGCTGCCCTGCACAGCCTTTTGGCCGGGCCACAGTGCCAGCAAGGGCCAGGAGCTACGGGCTGAGGGGAGGGGAGCACATGCTGGCCCCATGGGGGTCCATGGCCCCAAAC